GTTTGGCATGGTTCTGGAAATTGGTTTGGCTAAGGGACCGCTTACCCATCGATGGGAAGATCTTCCCATCGCTGGGTGGGTGGTTAGTCAAGAACCCATGGTTTTTGCCTTAACCACGGCCTAGCCAACCGATGCAAAAACCGACCGAAAAATCCAAAGTTCTCCAAAATAAAAACCAAGTGTTTAAAACACTTATTTGATGTATTTGGCTAAGAAATCAAGTAAGACACTTTAAAAAACCACGTCATTTGAGTGAAAACCACGGCTAGCCAAGTTAATGCCGTTTTGAATGATTATTGTCAAACGACCAAAAGCGAAAGATGGTTTTCAAGGTGTTTTTGTTGGAGAACCGTTTAAACATGCCAAAGAGTGAAAAAAAATCATAAAAAGTTGAAAACCACTCTGTTGGTTCGGACGCCAAAAACCAATGCCGATAACCGAGAGCCGAACGCCGGTTTCTGAAACCCGAACGCTAGATGGCTTGGTTTTTGGTTTGGGCGAACACCAAGTGTTTTTAATGACTTAAACAAGTTTGAAAAACATTTTTCTGATGTGAGAGATGCAATGAAGGATTTTAGCCTAAAGAGCCAAGGTGTAAAGATTGGGTCGGTCTTGATCACAATGAAGACCGACTCAACGACACTAAGACTAAGGTCTTCGTTCTTGGTCTTCTTTTAGATCTTCTTCTTCTCTTCATTCTTCGCCTTGTATACTTAATGTTTGACTTGATCACGGCGGTTTGGCATTATCAAAACCTGTCATAAAAACAAAGACGGCTTTAGTATGAAAACGTGACAAGCTCGTGTTTCAACATACACCATCATTTTTTGCGCCGACCGTGGGACCATTTTTAAAGTTTTTTCGACCAGGTCAAAACTTTACCCCCACTAAATATCCACAATCATGTCTTCAAGCAACCACAACACTGTGTCAAGCCAGGCTGCAAGTGAAAGCACTCCTGCCATCCCATTGATGATGACGAGCATGGGGACAACCATTGTCCCAATCACCACGGTAGGATCGATTGGCATGATTCCAATCACGTCAACCCCTACTCCTTCGCCAACGACAACAATGTTCCCAGGCTCGATTACAACGCCGGGGGGAGCATTCACACCATACCCGTCAGCTTGGGCTCAATTTGCTGCTGACCCGGCAAATGCTCAGGCTCTACAGGGCTATCAACAGATGATGGCCATGATGCAACAGGCAGGGGGCGTCATGCCATTTTCCTATCCTGGCATGACGCCACCAATTATGCCACCTCCGGTGTCGACCCCGTCGACATTTGTCCCTAGGATGGTCCCTATACGCCCGGTGAATTTGACGGGGACCATGAACGAAGCAACACCTTCAAATGTCCACGAGGTCGACGAGACGGAGCAAGAGGCGGCTCGCAGAAGGAAGGGTAAGGCTATAGCCAAGCCCAGCAAAACTCGAGATTCGGCGTTCAAACGCCTAGGGGACAAAGAGGATGGACCCCGCAAGCCTGCTAAGCTACGTCTTGGTCCTGAGATGGGCCGGACTAGTGCAATGGAAAGATTGGCGGGAGTCGTCCCGCCCAATCTCGTCGTTCTAGGGAATCTGAGACGATTCACCTAGACGTGGAGGAAGCTAAAAGCCAGCCCAGGGCATCGGCGTATACCAGGCTCTCATACGATGAGGATGACCTGGACAAGATAGGGAGCATAGCGAGGAAGCTACGTGTGGAGAAATTGACGCGGAAGATCAAGTTGGACAGGAAGAAATTCACGGGAAAGGAGGATCCAAATGTCCACCTTGACACCTTCCACAATGCAGCACATATGGCCGGGTGCACTAATGCTGAGGAGTGCCTGCTCTTCTTCTCATCCTTGAGAGGGAGACAAGTGGAATGGTTTAATGGACTTCCCCATGGAAAGATTGGATCCTTTAAGAAACTTGCCGAGGTTTTCCGCAAGAAGTACCAGGGCAACTGCATCAAAAGGAAAAAGTTCACCTACCTTAACACGGTAGGGCAGAAGGAGAAGGAGTCGTTGACTCAATTCTTGACCCGCTGGAGGGACGAGGTTGACAAGGTAGAAGAGATGGACGACAAGATGACCATGTCTTTGCTGATGAATGCCTTCCGGTCGGGTGACCTCTACACCAAATTCTGTAGGAGGCCACCCACCTCTTATCAGGAAGCCTACAATACGGCATGGGAATACGCATAGGCGGAGGTCCTAAACAAGAGCAAGCGGGAGCTGGAGGAAGGCTATACAAAGGTGAAATCCGACAAGCCGAAGAAGGATGACCAGACGGGAGGGTCCAAGCCAAAGGCCACATATGACGGATCCGTCCATGAAATAAGGGATGAGAAGAAGGGAGAACAACCCAAGAGACCTTGGACGGAGAAGTGGTGTACCTACCACCAATCCGTCTCCCACAACACGGCAGACTGCCGAAATGTCAAGGCCGTGCTCAAGGAGATGGCCTTGAGGGGAGAGTTGGGGAAAGGTTATGCAACGGGGAATAAGGACCCGAAAACGAACACCTGGACCGGTCCTCAGGGAAAAGACCAGGGGAGGAAAAAAATCTAGGAAGGATAGTAACAAGCTGGATAAAGAATTCATCGAGATGATTGTCGGCGGCCCAGAAGGCAGGGATACTGCCTCCCAGCGGAAGAATTGGGCCAGGAGTCTGCATGTGTCGGTGGTTTCCCTAGAACCCCAGGGGAAACAAGCAAGAAGGATACCCATCACTTTCACTAATAGGGATCTGCCCAGGACGGGGGGAGATCACAATGACCCTTTGGTCATTACAATGGATATCAATGGAGCTAATGTGGCCAGGGTCCTGGTTGACACAGGAAGCAGTGTCAACGTTCTATACTTAGACGCTTTCAAGAAATTGAAGCTGGACAGGTCCATGTTGAGACCATTGCAAACTCCATTGTCAGGCTTCACAGGAGCTAGCATAGAAGCAGAAGGTCAGATAACCTTACCGGTTACCTTGGGGACAGGTAACAGGACAGTGACCAAACAAATGAGATTTGTTGTGGTCGACATCAAATGTGTGCATAATGTCATCCTGGGTAGACCTGGAATCAACCAGGTCAGGGCCATCTTTTCTATGGCGCACTTATGCATGAAGTTCTACACTCCCAATGTGATCGGGGAGGAAAGGGGTGATCAAAAGAATGCTCGGTCCTGATACCTAGAAGCAGTCAAGAAGATGACCCGTCAGTTTGAACAAATTGAACTGGTCTCTTAGCAGGTTGACAAGGGTGAGGAGAAAGATAGGATCGAGCTGGATGCAAACACGGAGGTGATCCAGATTGATGCCTCCAATCCTGAGAGGAAGGTCAAAATTGGGGCTGATCTTCAGGAGGAGCTAAGGACTGAGATTGTCCAAGTGCTGACCAGGTATAAATCGTTGTTTGCCTGGAGTGTTGCTGATATGCCCAAGATTGACCGGTCAGTCATTTGTCATCGTCTCTCTGTTCTTGAGGGGTCTAGGCCTGTAAGATAGAAGAAGAGATTCTTGGCAAGTGATAGGAGGGACTTTGTAAAGAAGGAGGTTAAGGACCTACTTAAGGTAGGTCATAGTAGGGAAGTAAATTACCCTGAATGGCTAGCCAATGTAGTCCTGGCCCCGAAGGGTGATACCTGGAGGATGTGTGTGGACTACACAGACCTCAACAAGGCATGTCTGATGGATTCTTACCCTCTCCCCAGCCCGGACCAAATGGTGGATGAAACCGGCGGGTGTGAGCTGCTTAGTTTCATGGATGCCTTTAAAGGGTATCATCAAATCTTCATGGCAGAGGATGATGTGGAGAAGACAGCCTTCCTCACCCGAGACGGGACATATTGCTACAGGGTGATGGCCTTCGGGTTGAAAAACTCAGGGGCAACCTACCAGAGGATGGTCAACAAATAGTTCAGGCCTTTACTTGGACGGACCATGGAGGCTTATGTCGATGATATGCTGGTGAAGAGCAGGGCATCCAGCACTCACGCTCAAGACCTGGAAAAATGTTTTGAGATTATGGCCAGACATAATCTCAGACTTAATCCAAAGAAGTGTGTTTTTGCTGTGAGGACGGGGAAATTCTTGGGCTTCATGGTGACAAAGAGAGGGATTGAGCCAAATCCCGAAAAATACAAGGCCATTGTAGAAATGCAACCCCCAACATCGGTAAGGGATGTCCAACGGTTAACAAGGCGCTTGGCGGCCTTAAACTGGTTTTTGTCCAGGTCGGCAGAGAAGGCATTGCCTTTCTTTAAGGTTTTAAAGAAATCCAATACCTTCCAGTGGGATGAGGAATGCGCCAGGGCATTCGAAGAGCTAAAGACATATTTGACTTCGGACATTGTCCTGTCCAAGCCGGAAACGAAGGAGACCCTATACCTCTACCTGGGGGTGACTCAGATGGCTGTTAGCTCGGTCTTGATGAGGGATGATGGGGTCCAGATGCCCATCTATTATGTGAGCAAGGCTTTGAATGGGGCGGAGAGTAGGTACACTCCTACTAAAAAGGCAGGGTATGCACTTTTCATAACAACAAAGAAACTCACCTACTTCAGGCCCACCCCATCGTCGTGTTGACTGACCTACCACTGGGCACGGTCATGAGGGACTCCACCTCATCAGGAAGAATGATCAAATGGGCCATGATGTTGACCCAGTTCAACATCGAATATCGTCCGTAGACAGCAATAAAAGGACAGGCCGTGGCTGATTTTCTTGTGCAGATGACGGGTCACCAGGAAGAAGAACCGGCCAGGGCCATCACTGAGCCATGGTGGTCCATGTCGGTAGATGGAGCTTCCAGGCCAAAAGGTTACGGGGGTGGTGTGGTATTCACAACTCTAGAAGGGTTCAAGGTATATCATGTCTTGATTTTTAATTTCAAGCTCACAAACAATGAGGTAGAGTATGAGGCATTGATAGGGGGTCTGAGATTGGCCAAAACCCTATAAATCAACTGCCTCAAAATTAAGTCCGATTGAAGCTTGGTGGTAGGCCACATCAATGGCAACATGGAGGCCAAAGGAGAAAAAATGCAGAGGTATAGAGATTTGGCAAGGGCACTACTGAAGAACTTGACTGAGTATGTGATGGAGCAAATCCCTAGGGGGGAGAATACCGATGCAGACTTGTTATCAAAATTGACACAAGCAGCCCCGGAGCATGTGTCCAAGTTGGCCAAGATTGAGACGCTAGAGAAAGTCAGCATTGATGGGTTTTCTGATAGCATGATAGAGGAAGATGGGCAGCCCAATCCAGATCTGGTGGAGCCAGATGATATTTGGATGGATGACTTGGTCAGGTACTATATGACTGGGCAATTCCCTGATGATGAGGATAGGGTAAAGAAAGTAAAGTTGAGGGCTCCAAGATTCCAAATGCTTGATGGAAGGCTATACAAAAGAGAATTTTGTGGTCCATTTTTGAGTTGCTTGACCAGGTCAGAGGCGGAAAGAGTGATTTCCAAAGTTCACGAGGGTGTCTGTGCAGCCCACCAAATGTCCAGGACACTCGCACAAAGGATCATCTTGCTAGGTTACTTCTGGCCTACAATGAACCAAGATTGTGAGAAGTATGTGCAAAGGTGCAAAACTTGCTAGGTGTTCTACAAGTTTTCGCGAAGGCCTGCAACATACTACCACCCGGTCTCCAATGTTATTCCATTTGGTAGGTTTGGGATGGACATCATTGGAGCCTTCCCTCAAGCGCAAGGGAGAAAGAAGTATGTGATGATTGCTATCGACTACTTCACAAAGTGGGTAGAGGCCGAGGCATATGCAACCATTACGACCAAGCAATGCCAACGCTTCATGTGGAAGAACATCATCACTAGGTTCGGGTCACCGCGGAACATCGTGACGGATAACGGGCCTCAATTTCGAAATCCAGGGTTCAGCAAGTACTTGGAGGACTTCGGGATCACTCACAACAAGGCTTCCGTGGCCTACCCGCAAGGGAGGGGCCAGGTGGAGAATGCGAACCGCACAATAGTGGATGGGATCAAGAAGCGGTTGGATGAGGCAGGAACAAATTGGCTAGAGGAGCTGCCACATATCATCTGGGCATACCGGGTCACTTCAAGAAGGGCTACAGGAGAGACACCTTTCGTCCTTACATATGGATGTGAGGCCAGACTACCCATTGAAGCAAAAATAATGACTTTCCGGGAAAAGATCTATGAGGAGAAAGGGAATGAGGAAGATCATTTGGCGGAGCTGAACTTCCTAAAAGAAAGGCGGATGGTCGTTGAGGCTAAAATGATAGAGTACCAGCAAGCAGCCAAGGCCTACCATGATAACAGGGTAGGGCCTCATTATTTCCAAGTGGGTGACGAGGTCCTGAGACGAAGGGAGGCCAGCAAACTAGGAGACGGGGGAAAGCTCGCGAAGAAATGGGAAGGTCCATATAGGGTCACGGCAGTATTACGCCCAGGGACGTACAAGTTAGAAACAATGGAAGGTAGAGAATTGGAAAGGTGTTGGAATTCCCACCACCTTAGAAAATTCTACCGATAGACCAAAATGGGCAGGGCATGTATTTGTAACACCCCTTCGATGATGAATAAAAGCTTTATTCAATACTTGTGTTGCTAGGTCAATGAAGCTAAAATAACTTGTCTTGATGTAAGAGGCAAGGTAAAAAAAGATAAACCCTTGAGATAGGGGCCTTGATGTTGAGGTATAGCCTTGAGATAGGCTGGGTCTGGGAGAGGACTCGCGTCCATACTTACATGGATCCCTACCAAATTCTCGTTTGGATAGGGGTGAAAAGATGCCAAAATAAAAAACGTGTACCGTCTTGCATGAGCCATCCTTTGTGGATTGAAGGGTCTAGGGAAGATTAGAATTCACTTCAAACGCATAACATATGGACATGTAAGATTGGATGAGGGCTGGTTCTCACCGGCATACCCCCACGAGGGAAGATTGGGTTGGCTAGGTCAACCTAATGATTTATAAATGGCACATTAAAAGATTTAAAACATGGAAGAGGGGCCCTGGAAGAAGGGTGTTGCCTGGAAGAGGGCTGAACCTTGGAGAGGGTTCGCGATCGTAGGGCATGGTCAAAATCTCCGAAGAAAGGTCAGGTCTTGATGCTGAGACTTAAGACAAAAACCGTTCCGGAACATTTGATCGAAGTTTGATCAAGGTCGGTGTTGAACACGGCAGACAGGCTAGGTGGATAAAAGAAGAGGGCATGGTCAAAGGTGACCGGTCATTTCTTGATATTCTAGAATGACCAGAAATGGCGAATGGAAAAATCAAAATTTGACCGATCAACTTTGAGAAAAGTGACCGGTCACTTTTTTAGTTGTCGGATTTGATGAAATCAGACAAGTCTGGGAAAATATTTTTTTTTGACCGGTCACATTTTTGACCGGGCACCTGGACAGAAATTTGAGGCATGGCTAGTGATGTAACGTGACCAAGCCATTGGGATTGGACCAGGACAAAATTCAACCTAGACATCTATTACATTTCAACCTGGAAGATGACCTGGACGTTTCAAGATTTGCACCTAACCAGAACATGAAGTGACCTAGACATTTTCGAGACTTGTATTCAACCAAGACATGAGATGACCTGGACATCTTCAAGATCACAAGACCTGGACGTTTTCAAGATTACAACCAGGCCAACCAGACCTAGACATTTTCAAGATGTTATCTCATCATGCCTAGGCCGGTCAACCAAGCCGAGCCAATTAGACCAAGCCAATTAGACCTGGATGTTTTAAAGACCAGGACATGAGATGACTTGGAAATTTTTTAAACGATTCTTAAGGTATATGGCCGGTTATTAATTTTGACTTGGAAGTTAAATCAAGCATGTTCAAGAAAAGGCAGATATGACCAAGCAACTTCAAAAGGTGACCGGGCAAGGAAAACAATCGTGTAAGAGACAATAACCATGCAAGAAAAGAAAGTCAACTATACAAAGCAAGTATGACCGGTAAAATTTAAGAGCATACCAAGAAAAGTTAATGTTACAGGTTAAAAGTAGGCCGGACATCCCCCAGGCCTTGGGAAAATGCATAGTTTCTTCAAAAAATAACCTAACCTACTGCAATGAGAAAGGGGGGGTTGGCTCTTCCTTTTGTAGGGCTGGAAGCTTCAACTTGGCTGGGTCAAAAGAAGGATCCCTCTTCTGGAGTCTAGCATAGAGGAGAGATCCCTCTTCCTTTTGGCCACACTGGAACCCATAAGACCCGACGTGTGTTATCATTCTCTTCCCTTCCGGTTCCTTATACATGACCTTGAAAAAGTCTATGGTGTCCTCTGGATTGGTAAGAATTGACCGGGCAACTTCAGTGTGATGGCAGGCAGCCCAAGTCGCATCATCATCAGGAAAAGACTGCTCCTTTGCCCGGGCAGATTCTTCGGCCTATCCCAAAGCTTCCTCCAGCTCAGCCACCTTCCTCTCCTCCTCCGCCAACTTGGCCCTTTCCTCCTCTAGCCTGGCCCTTTCAGCCATCAACTCTTCCTCCAGCCTCTTCTCCCTTTTTGTCGGGTCGTTGATCTCCAACTTAGCAGAGTCAAGGAGGAGGGTCAGTTGGGAGACCGTGTCCTTTGGCTCGAGGAGTGACCAGCCAATCTCTTCTGAGATAACCCCAACCTGAAGATCCAAAAAGACAGGTGTGTCAGTAAAAAGCAAAGGAAATAATTGAACCGGGAGGAAAATCAGAGATGTAATACCTTGCTAAGTTTTTTGGCCAAGGCTAAGAAGGTTTCTTCGATGGACTCCCCCTCCCTGTCTGATGACTTGACCTTCTTCTTCCTACTCCCCTTGGAGCTCTTTTGGGACCCTTTCCTTTTGTGGTCCTTAACGCGGGAAGAAGAATGGCCGGCCTCTTTAGATTTTGATTCGACCTGGACTTGGTTGGGGTCAACCCGGTCATCTTTAGAGAGATTGATGGTCGAATGAGACTTCGCCTTATCCCGGGAAGATGAAGCCCCTTCCATCCCAAGGTTTTGAGGAGGAGAAGGAGGGTGTTTACTGGGAGACCGGTTGGAGTGGAGGACTTGAACATCATCGTCGTCATCCTCGATGATGGTGGTCATCCTGGAGAAGTTCATGTCTACCAAAAAGAACAAAGCAACAAGTGACCGGTTAGATCGTTTACCTTACGCATAAAAAGGAAAATGAAAGAAAGATGCTTGAAGGAAGGTGACCGACCTGGATGAGGAGAACTGGCCTCAGCATGATCTTCCGGGGAGTTGGCCCGGTCATCTTCTGCGTCATGGGTTGCAGATACACCCCCATTCGGATTTTGTAACCAGTACACCCAGCCCCCATAGGCGTATGGTTTCTGGGTCACAGGATCACCCTTGAGAAGTGTCTCGCAAGCATCCTCAAGTTCTTTGGTGGGCTCTGGGTGAACCCTTTCAGGTTTTATAACCTGGTCAACCCACTCACGATTAGAGAGGGGAAATTGGTCAGGGAAATTCAATGAAAACAAATCTTTGCTTCCATTTCTTGTGGCACGGGTATGGAAATAAACAAAGCCCGGGCAGTTACTAGTCCCGGGCAAGACATCATACATATGAAGGAAACGATCGAGGGAAGGTTTGATTTTCAGAGATTCACAAATATTTACAAAACAATTCAAGAACCGGTGAGCATTTGGAGTAAGCTGGCTGGGCAAAAGATTGAACTTATTACAGATTTCTACGAGGAGGGGGCGAAGGGGAAAGATAATGCCTCCCTCTAGAGAAGCAACGTGAAAACCCAACCGATTTCCTTGGTGGGGTTTCATAATGTTGGGCCAAGTGGTTTTTGAAAGAAGTTTGTAGCCCGGCGGAAGGACAGAACGGACTTCGGCCAGGGCCTTTTTTGTAACCCTAGAGGACTCCTTGAAGACCGGTCCGGAGTCAAGGGCTAGGTAACCCAACGATCCCAATCGCTCTTCCCATTGGTCCTAGCTGAGGACCTTGGGATTGAACCGACTGGGCAGTTGGTTCAAAGGGACATGCTCCTAGGCAACTATTTCCCGGGCCTGAGAGCTGGACTGTTGAGAGGGGCGGCGAATCAAAGGAGTGACAGGGGGGAAGAAGAGTCAGATTGGTTAGAGGAAGAGGGTTGAGAGCCTGATCCATAGGATTGGTCAGATATGTTTTGACTATCAGAAGACATGATTTCAGCCTACCGGTCAAAAATAGAAAGATGGAAGAATTAAAAGACTAGGAGGACTGGAAGACTTACTTGGCAAGGAGCTAGAGAGAGAAAGCTGACCGGTTAAAGTTGGGAAAGCGAAGTGAAGAAGTGAGATGGGTTGGAGGAGTATTTGTAGGGGAGAGAGAGAGGAGGGTTGGAGTTCGAGGCGACAAGTGGGAGGCTGAGGGGTTGACACGTGGAAAAGGTAATGATGAGGGGGGATTTGAATTTTGAATGTGGAAGGTGAAAGGTTTTAGAGGGAAACTCCAAAATTGAAAAGCCATGCCTGATGTCTGGGCTCCCCCACGCTATCCAAGTGTGACAGGTCAAAGAGAATGGTTAGATCAGATCTAAAAAACGACAGGTCAGGGGATAGGTCATGGGTATGACTTGACGGTGATTTCATAAAGGACAGGTCCCCAAAGAAAAAGTTTGATGGCTTTGTAAAGTGCTAGGTCAAGGGAGAGACTTGATGATTCAAAATGGACAGGTCTGATATGAAGACTTAAGGATTCCAAAAATGGACAGGTCAATGGAGAGGTTTGATGATTTAAAATGGGCAGGTCCGATGAGAGAGACTTGGTGATTTAAAAAGACGGGTCATGAGTGAGACTTAATGATCCAAAAGGACAGGTCACGGGAAAAGGCCTGATAATTCCAAAAATGATAGGCCTGAAAAGGAAAGGCTTGATAATATCCAAAAGTGACAGATCTGGGAAGGACAGGTCTAATGATTATAAAAGAGCCAGGTCATAAAAAATACTCGATGATATAAGAGGACAGGTCAGAAAGGATGACATGATGATTTCAAGTGTGATGCGTTAACATAAGTATACTTCCCGCCCATGATGATTTCCTCACAAAGCCGGTAAGTGGAGGACTTCTTGATAGGTATATCCTTATACCCGACCTGGATAACCGAAAGGGACAAATCAAAACATGACCGGTCACTTTTATCAATCGCCAAATGAGGTTAACTCTTCGATTGGGACGGGTCAAAAATTGACCGGTCTTTTCCACTAAAAAAGTGACCGGTCACATTTTGGGCGATAGCCAAAATGTCGCTTAATGTTACAAAGGACATTCGAGAAGACCAGAGAGATGGGTTGAGCGCAAGAAATGACCGGGTAACCTTTGAGAGAAGGTGACCGGTCAGGTTGCACTATTTGAGAATGGCAATCAACATCAGAGGCAAGGGGACCACCCCGCCGTTCGTCCGTCACGAGGCAAACAGTAAAAGGAATGTTTGTCATTTTGCAGGGTCGATTGGATTGAGAATATCCATGTTATGGTCTTTGATTGAACAGTACATGTTTTGGCTTGTAGTTGTTAAATTCATTGATTGAATAGTAGATTGATTATGTAGAGTGACCTTCCTCCGGGTTTCCTATTTTGTCCATGGATGAACAGGGGAAGGTCACTGTACATAATCAATCTACTATTCAATCAATGATGAAGGTCAAAATTACACCATCACACCGTAAGAATTACACATCAATCACAACAGAACCTTCTAATGTATTGATTTGTCTACTTACGAATGACTTGACGACAAACTCGGTTTGCGTCTATCTCCACGTCTTGTTACACCTTCTCAAAGATCTTTTTCAAGGACGTAAATTCCAATACACCTTTAAATAAAGATTCTCCTTGATCTACAAAAATATGCAGGCTGTTCCGAAGCTCATAAATTGAGATTGAACCATTGAAATTCGGATCGGACAAGATTTGGTACTCCGATCATCGACAAAACCAGAGCTGCGTTCTGTGCAAAAAATCAGCGGCAATATGCAAATTGTAACTTCGATAACAAAAGATCCGTAACTCCGATTGACGTGAAATTTGAACACGTTGAAGCCCTATGTGTTGGGAACACCCTCTGCAAATTTCAGCAAAATCCAACCGTCAGATCTCCGGCGATGATCAAATCTGTGCGGGCTGTCCAGAATATTTGCCCTATCAAACTCTGCACCTTGTTTTTCTTTTTTGGATTTTCTTCAGTTGTTTCGTATTTTTCTGCCACAAAACTCTAATAGATGAAGAAGATAATATATGGAGTATATTAACCTTGTTAGAGTGTGCTTAAGAGACTCAATCATGCCTTCCACCTCAAGAATTGTAAACCATGTAGGATTAGAATTCAAGTCGGATTAGAATTCTCTCTTCAAGCTTTTTCCTTTTTCTCTTCCTTCACATGCTAGGACTCTAAGTCTAAATAAAACATCTAAAATATTTCTAGGTAAATCAATTCGTTTGTCAAAAAATAATGCCAACACAATTTGGAACTAACAACATGCACTACTTACTAATTACAGAGCATATAAGTTTTTTTTTTTAATTCAAACCATAGGGGTTTTTCATATTGTGCAAAAATAAATAACACAAGAGCAGTGGTGACAATTCTCAAGCATACACATTCCATAAATTGTCTACAATTGTATACATAACTTGCATTACTACAAAGGAACTCACAAATAACACATGTAATATAATACATTGGCAAAGGCACAATGGATCACACACTCACAGAGGAAATAAACACAATCAAGTGTTTGAAGCAAACTGTAAGGGCTTAAGCTCTGATGGTAACAATTCTTCTTTCCTTCCATAATCTGATGGAACAATTCTCACCCTGATTTACCATGGATTGCAGCAATGGCAGCATCAAGATCCTCATCCAGGAATATGTCCCACTTCCCCTCCCACTTGATGAAGAACTCAGTGTCCTCCAAATACTACACTCTATGAACATCCCCAGCTGGGGTGAAGAGGTAATCCCCCACACCCAAGTCGAATTTTCAATAATACCTAATCTATCTATAAATTTCCGTAAATTATTGATATATTTGATATATATATTTAATAGTAATACAAATTTTCAATAGAAATATTTTTCGTGTATTAATATAGATTTAAAAATGTAAAAACGGTTCTATACACATTTAGCATTTAACACATACCATATCAAAAAATAAAAGTATTTAATACTTACCAATTTTAAAATTTTAAAATAGCAACATGGTGCCATGATATTAAATAATAATAAAATTACAAAGTTTTATTACCTAATATATTTTAAAATTTTAAAATAGCAGCACGGTGCCATGCTATTAAATAAAAATAAAATTAATAAATTTTAAATAAGAATATTAATACTACGTATTAAATAAGAATAATAATGGAAAGTTTAGAATGGTTGAATCCAGCGAAGAAGGGCATAGCCTGTTTCTCGAACGTCTGGGAGAAAAAACCATCCGTGCTCAAACAGTAAAATCTGAACCTTGTCGCTCTTCTTTCTTTCCTCGCGAGCAGGGAAGATCTTAAGAAATGGAGCCCGGGTCAGCTGTTAGAGTATCGCGGAAAAATTACCCAAAATAATCCCAACTTTACTCGGTCTTTCAAAAATAATCCCACCTTTCACTGTGATGCATAATAATCCCAACTTTACTGAAATTTACCAGTTTTGGGTCACCGTTAAGTTTCTAACGGAGGGATAACGGAAATGCCCATTTTAGGCAACAAAATGAAAGTTGGGATTATTTTTGATGAACTTTGTTTTTTAATTTTTTTTAAAATTTTTATTTAATTTTTTTGAATTACTTTCAACCTCCATTTCTTTTTCTTTTTTAAAGATTATTCTTACCTTAGAAAAAAAATATATAAAAAAAATAATGAAAATGAGAAAAATAACTAAAATCATACAAAATTAATCAAATAAATAATGTAATCAATAGAAATTAAACAGAAACTGGTAAGAAATAAAATAAATATATATGGAGTCGTGGGTTTAACATTTTACACACTATACGGAGTCTTAATGTACTACTTATTTTTTAAAAGAACAAGCCGTCCGGTAAAGTTGGAATTATTGTAGATAATTTTTTCTAAAAAATAAGAAGTGATATGTTAATGCTTTGTATAATGCCTAAAATATTAAACCCACCCGTATATTTTTATTTTACTTTTTCCAATTTTAAGTTAGTTTCCATTGATTACCTTATTTAATTTATTATTTTTGTATCATTTTAGTTACATTTCTCATTTTTTCATTTTTTTAAACTATTGTTTTTATTTTTTAAACTAAGACTAATCTTTAAAAAAGGAAAAAGAAATGGTGGAGGTAGAAAGTAGTTTAAAAAATTTAAATGAAAAT